CTAATTCTAAGTGTGCTCTCATTTAGATCTGGAATGTTTCCCCAAAGCCCATGTGTTAAAAATTTAGTCTTCAGCTTGCGCTATGGGGAGGTGGAAGAAACTTGAAGAAGTGGAGCCTAGTGGGAAGTCTTGCAGTCACTGGAGGCGTGCCCTGGAAGGGGACAGTGGGACCCCAGACCCTTCCTCTTCCCCTCTCTCTTTCATTTCCAGTCATGAGGTGGATGGGGTGCTCTACCCTGCACTTTGACCATGAGGTACCTCCACAGGCCCTCAGCAACAAGGCCAAGTGCTTAGGGAGTGAAACCTCCAAAACTGAGTCAACAAACCTTCTCTCTTTAGAAGCTGATTTCTACCATCTTTTTGTTGCAGTGATGGCAAGCGGACGAACACAATGTGGATCCAAGTTATCCCGTAAATGTTGATTAGGTTGTGTTGATGGACAGTATTTTCTATATCCTTGTTGATTTCCTAGTCGTCCTATCAGTTATTGAGAGAAGGGTATGTAGTCTCCAATGTAAAACTGCAGATTTGTCTATTTCTCCTTCTGATTCTATGAGCTTTTGCTTTGCATATTTCACAGTTTGGGTGTTTGGTGCATACACACTTAGGATTGCCATGTGTTTTGGATAGATTGTCTTTTTTTATCATTATTCAGAATCCCTCTCCATCTCTGGTCCTTGTATTTTCTCTTCACTCCACTTTATCTAATATTAATATATTCACTCTTACTTTCTTTGATCAATGTTTGCATCACTTATCTTATTATGTCCTTTTAATCTGCCTATATATCATTTTATTTAAAGTGATTTTCTTATAGCCAATATATAGTTTAATTATATTTTTAAAATCCAATATACCAATATCTCTCTTAATTGGTATATTTAGGCCACTTATACTTGGTGTTATTATTGATGGGTGAAGCCTTAAGTATGCCATTTTATTTTTTTATTTAAGTTTTTCATTTCTTTGTTTTTTTTTTATCTTCCTGTGGGTTGTTAGAACAATTTTTAAAATTCTATTTTGAGGGCTGGGGATGTGGCTCAGGCGGTAGCGCGCTTGCCTGGCATGTGTGCGGCCCGGGTTCGATCCTCAGCACCACATACAGACAAAGATGTTGTGTCCGCCAAATAGTAAAAAATAAATATTAAAAAAATTCTCTCTCTCTCTCTCCCTCTCTCTCACTCTTTCTTTAAAAAAAAAAATTCTATTTTGATCCATCTATCATGTGTTTGTATGTAGCTCTTCACATAGTTGTTTTATTGATTGCTCTAAGGATTACTTTGTATACACATGCATTCTCACAGTCTACTGGCATTACCCTTTTACTGATTCAAGTGAAGTATAGACTATTTTCCTCTATTTACGTCCCTTCACCATCTCCTGTTTATAGCATACTAGTTTTAAATTTATTTTCTCTACCTGCATTTGGAACAATAACAATAGTGTTTTAATCTTTGCTTGGACCATTTCCTATTTATAAAACTGAAGAGAAGGAAAGCACTTGCCCACATTTTTGCTTACTGGTCTCTTTCTTCCTCGCTGATGAACCAAGTTTCTTTCTCTTAGCTTTTCCCTTCTGTGTAGAGAATTTCCTTCTGCCATTCTTTCAAAGTAGATCTGCTGGCAACAAATTCTTTCAGCTTTTCTTATCTAAGCGTGTCTTAATCTTCTCTCCATTACTGGGGTATTTTTTTTACTGAATATAGATGCAGGCTTAACAGTTCTTTTCTTCTAAAAGTTCCTGAAAAATATTGAGTCACTGTTTTCCGACTCTATGGTTCCCCATGGAAAATCAGTGTTCATTCTAATTGCTTTTCCCCTGCGGATGGTGTAGTTTTTCTTTAGCTGTTTTCCAGATTTGTTGGTTTTTGTTTGTTTGTTTTGTATTATTATTATTATTATTATTATTATTATTATTATTATTATTATAATCTTTACTTTTCAAAAATCACAGCATGCCTTAGTTTGAATTTCTTTAGATTTAATTTCTTTGGGGTTTATTCAGCTTGTTGAACATGTAAGTGTATGTGTTTTGCCATTCTTATATTCCTAAAAAAAAAAAAAAAAATGAACATTACATATTCTTCATAGTCCCCCATCCCAGGTTCCTAGGGATCTGATTATTTTCATATTCAGTTTATTTTCCTCTGTTGTTTAGCTGGGTGACGTCCACTGTTCTATCTTCTAGTCACTGATTCTCTCCTCTCTTCTCTCCGCCACCGCCATGACCACTGTTCTGCTCCTTCTACTGAATTTTTAAATTTGATTATTTTTTTAATTCTAAAATTCCTACTTGATTCTTTTCTAGTTTTCCTGGGTTTTGTTTTTATTTTGCTGATACTTTTTTCCTTCTTCCGTCTTCCTTCCTTCTTCCCTTCTCGGTTTGTATTCTTGCATTCCTTTCAAGTGTGCTCCTAATAGCTCATTGAAGCATTTTGGTGATGGCTACTCTAAAAATCTTCATTGGGTCATTCTCAGAGCTCTGTCCTCTCACAGTTGGTGTTTGTAATCTTTTTCCATTTATTTGGAGATCTTCTTGGTTCTCAATATGACAAATAATCTCTGGTTGGAAGTTGGACATTTTCGTATTATGAGACTGTAGTTCTTATTTAAAGTTTCTCTCTTATTTGCCTCTTTCTGTCCAGGTGAAGGTGGGCAAGCACTGCCTTCTTGCTGCCAGGTAGAAATAGAGCTCGGCTCCCTCACTGTGCCTCATCTGACACCTGGGGGCTGCTGTTGGTTATGGGGTGGGGTGGGTTTATCCGTTTTCCACATGGTCTTCAGGAGCACCGCACTAGAGGGGCCTGATCAACGCAGGGTGCTGGTGAAAACCCTGACTCTCCACTGGGCCTTCTCTGACACTATTGGGGAGGGATTGGGGGGAACCTCATTGCTTCTGGGTTGGGTGCCATCCGTCCACTGACATCATGGACTGGGGGCAACTTTGTTACGACGTAGCAGGATGGGAGTTCCAGCTCTCCCCTTGGCCTCTTGGACATCCCCCCACTCCCAGCCAGGGTTTGCTGACCCCATGATATCCACATCACCAGGGCTGGGGTGGACGTCCGGACTCCCCTCCTGGCCTTTCCAGGGCGGGTAGGGGATGGCTTCTTTGGTGTTTTGCAGGAGTGAGAAGTCATTATTCCAGAGCTTTTTGACCTTGTTTGGAGCCCCTTCCTTGGTTCTTGGCCGCAGAGAGGAGCCTTCTGTTGGGGTTTTTGTGGGCCTCTGGTGGTGCTTCATTGCCAAACTTCTGCAGCTCCCGGACTGTGATGGAGGAGGTGGAAAACAGCAGCTTGTCCTTCCTTAGGCCCTGAGTCCTCTGGCCCTCCATCTTCCTCTCTCCACCTTTCAGAGTCATCTTCTTTTAAAGATGGTGTCCAGGGTTTTATTTGTACTTACTTACTGGAAGTCATGGGGATAGTATATCTGACCCATTTTCCTGTAAGCAGAACCTGTCTGTTTCCTATCAGATATAAAACTGCTATAATTTGTCTACAAAATGCTTTACCCATATATGGGTTGGACTCCTGGAAATAGTTAGTTGACCAAAAAATATGAGCATTTCTTGACACTTAATACATGGAATTCCTTACATTCACTAAAAGCTTGTACCTGTCCTGGCCATCCAACCCTTTCTCACCTTTAAGAATGATTTCAGTCTCAGGGTGATTCTCAACAGTTCTCATGAGCTGAAAGACGGGGCCTGCCAATCTTGTGTAGGTTTTTCTACGCAAACCCTCCCATCACCTCCTCTGAAAAGCCAGAGAGCACTGAAAAAGACGGGCTTCAGCTAAGACTGGGCGAGACCCCAAGATGAAGAGCGCAAGGACCCAGAGTGTGGGGCTGGGTGCCACTTACTGCCACACAATTGCTATATTCTTAGGTAACCTACAGTCAGCCCTTCACAGCTATGGGTTCCATATCCACAGATTGAAAATACATTTTTTAAAGAAGAGTCTGTAGTAAACTGGTACATACTCTTTTTTCTGGTCATCATTCTCTGAACTACAGCTTAACGACTACCCACCAAGCACTTGCATTGTATGAGGTATTCTAAGTAATCCAGAGAGGATTTAAAATACGTGGGAGGATGTGTGTAGACTCTATGCAAATACCATGTCATTTTATGTAAGGGACTTGAGCCTCCTTGGGGTTTGATTTCCTGAGGCAAGTGGGGACTGATCCTAGAACCAATCTCATGTGTGGCTACCAGGTGAAGCTGAGTTTGTTTCAGGGTAAGAGTCTAAATACAGCCAGTTAAGTCACTAGGGGGTGGAGATGTGGCTCAGTGGTAGAGCACTTGCCTAGCACACCTAGGGCCCTGGGTTTGACCCTTAACACTATGGAGGGAAATGTTATGTGCTGTATTGTGTCAGACAAAATGGAAATGCAGGGCTGAAGGAGCATGATATGGTGTCAGAGCTGATGGGCCCAGTGTCTCTGTGGCAGCTGGATGTGGCTGGCTCTGGGCCAGGAGAGGTGATGTGTGTGCTTCGTGGGGACCATCAACCCAGAACACTTGGTGTCAGGGAGTGGAGGAGGAGGAGTTGCTAACAGCTGCAGGGCCTTTCTGACTGCATTAGTGAAGGGGTAAGTAGATGTTCAGGACCCCAAATAGGAGTTAATTGGAACAGCATTTATGTTTGCCTTTGGATATAGCACTACCTTGGCTTTTCTTCTTGGCCCAGACTTTTGTTTATTTGGGCCATTTTCAAGTTTAGCTTTATCTCCAGGGACTTCTTCCCCTGCTCCTTCATGTTGAAACTTCCATCTGTGAAACACGAGAGTAGGGATGACGAGAGAGATTAAGATATTGTCGTTGACCACCTGGAAAGCTGTTTGCTGAAATCCAGAGCCCTGGGTGTACAACCCCTGTCAGAGCCCCTAACCACCGTGGGCTTGAGTTTTCCTTCTAGAGGCTTTCTTGCTCACACTAAGTCCTTGGGTGGTGGGATTGACTAGTAGTGATGATGAGCACCCTTGGTTTGGACTCATAGATTGGAGCCCTGCCCCAACTGTGTGACGTGCTTCGGCTGCTGCAGGAGGAACAGGACCAGTGCCTGCAGGAGCTCTCCAAGGACAGGCGAGAAGACGTCAGCCCAGAGCTTCCAGGACCAGGTACGACATCTGCTCAGCTCATGCCCTGACCCACCAGGTTGGGGGGGTGCATCCTCTGGGCCAGGATGGGATGTGGGGGACTGGGTTGGCTTTGTTCACTTAGTCAACTGGGGCTGGGGGGCTGGTGAGCAGTCTATATGGACCAGAAACCAGCATCCACTTTTCCTTTCTCGGGTATATGGGGGCAACCGGTGCTTTCCTAGCATCTTCCTCAAGGGAAGGGCTTGGTGGGAATCACTTTGTAAGGCTGTTTGCCTCCTGTCCACGTGGTCACCTTCACTGCCAGGTTGATGAGTGAGGAAAGGCAGTATGGGGTCAGAAACCCTTGGGGTACCATGCTTCCAAGCATTCACTGCTGTGTGACTATGTAAAAATTATTTAACACTCTCAGCCTCAGTTTCTTGATTTATAGAATGGAGGTGATAATATCTACTTCAATATTATAATGATAAATGAGATAGAATTTGCAAAATACAAATGTTTTGTAAATATTGGTAATTTAAATATTAATTATTATTAATCAACTCTTTAAATATTATGAGTTTTATATTTAGGTGTTAACTGTATTTCTATACCCTTCCTAAACTTCTCTTCTTTACTCTCTATCATTGAAGGATGTAGCATTAAGAAAAGAATCTATTGCAGGTACTTAAAAAAACATCTGTATCCAAATGTTCATAGCAGCATTATTCTTAATAGCCAAGAGATGGAAACAACCCAAATGTCCATCAAGGGGTGAATGGATAAACAAAATATGATCCATCCATGTAATGGAATATTATTCAGCCTTAAAAAAGAATGAGAGGGGCTGGGTTGTAGCTTGGTGGTAGAGGAGTTGCTTAGCATGTGTGAGGCCCTGGGTTCCATCCCCAGAACTAAGGCGGGGTGGGGTGGGGGGAGAAATGAAGTACCAACACATGCTAGAACACAGATGATTCATAAAAACATGGTATTAACTGAAATAAGCCAAATATAAAAGGTCACACATCATATGATTTCATTTATTTGAAATGTCTATATTAGGTAAATCCATAGAGACAGAATTAGATTCATAGTTGATGGGCTGAGAGGAGGGGCCGTGGGGAAAAATTGCTTGATGGGTGCGGGGTTTCCTTTAGGGGTGGTCAAGATATTTTAGAACTACATAGAGGAGATGGCTACATGTTGGATTATGAGGTACTGAATGTCACTGGCACACTCTAAATAGTTAATAGTTAAATTCATGTTATGTGATTTTACCTCAATCTAAAAAGAAAAAAAGAGACCAACCAACCCCAGCTTTTAAATTAGACCATGGGCTCCTAAGTTGCTTAATATGTCTCTGGGCCTCAACTTCCACATCTATTTTAAGAGATCGGTGTGAAATTAAAGAACATTCATTTAGGCTGGGGCTGCAGCTCAGTGGTAGAGTGCTTGCCGAGCATGTGCGGGGTCCTGGGTTTGATCATTCAAAAACTATTTACTTAGCACTTAATGGTATGAGATGGGAATGGGGAGAACAAAGGATAAATGATGAGGAACTGGAACTCCGTCTCATCGCTGAGGAATGCATTTTGCAAAAGAAGTTGGATACTTTGACTTCACCAAATAGGGATTTCTTTGTTGCAAATCATAAAAACTTCAGAGGTAGTACAAAGTTCCAAGATATCATATCTTCCAGATTCCTCTGTTGTTTGGCTTAACGCGTGGCTCTCGTCCTCATGGTCATACAAGGGCTGTTGTACCTCCGGGGAGGAAAGCAAAGTTGCTGTGTTTCTGGAAGGAAAGAGCAGCCGGGAGCTGGGGTGGGGATACACCGAGGAGCCTGGCTTTCCTGAAACTTTGGGGGGGGGGGGGGTTCTGCTTGCACTTTGTTGCTGGCAGAACCGGACCGCACAGCCACCCCTGGCTGCAACCATGGCTGGAGACCCAGAGGTTTAGCTATGCAGGTGGCCACCTTGAACAAAACCAGGTTCTGCTAGTGAGAAAGAAGAGAAGAATAGCAAAGGGCAGGCTCCACGGCAGTCATCATGACTCTGTGTGGTTGGGGGACTGTGGATCCGTTAATCACAAACCCTTGTAAAATGGCGATGAGATCAGGCCTGGGTGCCACTCCACCTGCATGGAGAGCCCAGGGTCCTGACCTGGTCTGGGACTCTACGAGGGCTTTCCAGAAGGAATGATGTTTGAGCTGAGATCGGAACATGCCTAATCATTACCAGGGACAGGGATGCAAGGGAGCAGCAGGGCGCTGGCACCCAGGAGGATTCTCATCCTGACTGCTAGAGCCATGGAAAGCCCGGCAGAGTCAGAGGCGAGAGGTGTGACGCTCAGGGTTATGAGAAGATCCCCACTTGCCGCAGCCTGGGGAAGGACGGGAGTAGGTTCAGAGAGACCCACTAGGAAGCTGTTGCCCTGGGTAAGATTTGCTGGTCACTGGACTATAATAGGGTGTCTCTGTTTGGGTTCCCAGCAGCAGGTGATCAGTAGGATGTGGGACCTGAGACCCAGCGGGGAAGGAACTGGGTGAACACTACACTGTCACTGTGGACACCTGGAGTATAATCCCACTGGGGCACGTAAGGAGCCAGGTGGGACACACACTTCTCAGTGGCCAAGGTGCTGGAGTAACTAGCCACCGATTCCCCAGCACTCAGAGTCAACGAAGCAGCATTAATTCCCTGGCACTTCCAGTCTCCTGTGCTTGGGGGACTAGTGGACTCCAGCCACTGGAGAAAGCCCTCAGACCAGGAAGCGCAGGGGCCATCAGTGTGCCGGGGTTACCAGCACCCCAGTAAAGCAGATTCCTGCTTGGAGGTGTGAACCAGCTGGGAAAAAGTCTGAAAATAATCAATAAGGAACAGAAGACAATAGACAGAAAATAGTTTTCAAAGCGGAGTATCTGGTGGGTCTTCAAGCCCTGATGGGAACTGGAACTGAAATAGGGGAAAGGCCCAACTCCTTTATTTAGGGGGGACTACAACAAATGTTTTAGTGTGGCAGGCTTCATGGGGAATACAAGTTGTCTGGGGCTTGGCAGGTTACGCCCCTCTCGGGGTGGCTGTGTGTGATCCTGGGGCTGTGAGCTAGGGCAGGGCACCAGCAGGACCTGGGCTTTCTCCAATGGGGGAATTTCACCCAGGAGTTCCCAGAAAAGTAGCCTCCCTGCCCTATGATGGCTCCAACAAACCCATAATTCACACACGGCTTCCGACATCAGCGGACAGTGATATCTGCAGATGCAGAGAAGATTTAGACCAAGGACGTGTGGCGGGAGAGGGTCTGCTCTGCAGGGGTGGCCTTGGTGGAGAGGAGTGGGTACGTGCCAGAGTCCTTTGGTGGGGAACGTTGATGGGACGTGGCGATGACTTGGATCAGGGGGGATGGAGGGGAGGAAGAGTGAGTCCAGGATGTCCTCCAGGTGTTTACCTTGAGCATCTGGAGGAAGATGAAGCAAGGTCAGGTATCTGGGGGAGCAGATTCAGTTTTCAAAGCTCAGTTGAGACTGAAGACAGAGATCCAGGCCTGGGTTGAACTTAGGCACCGAGGGCGAGTGCAGCTGAGGCTTCACAATGACGGATCATGGGAGGGAAGAGGAGGGGGCCTGGGGAGGAGCCTCAAGCACTCCAGCACTTAGTGCCAGGAGCAGCCAGAGGTTGGAAGAAACATGGGCGGCAGAAGCCAAGTGCTGTGGGTGTTGCAAATGTGCTTATATCGATTCACTCACCCACCACGTGAGGGACAGAGACAGAGAGGGAGACCCTCAGTTTGAGCCTTCCCTTGCCTGTCCTGGCTCCAAGCAGCCATATCCTGGTCTTGGACACTCCAGGAGGTACTCTTGAGAGTGTCCTGATACCCTGGGTCCTCCCACCATCCCAGATACTGTGTCTGGTGCGACAGAAAGCAAGGCCCAACAAGGCCAGCCTGGGGTGCGGCCCTGGCCCAAGGTGGACATGTGTTGTTTTCCTCTCCTCCAGCTTGATGCAGCACCTGCACAGATCAAGTACTGTGTGTGGGTTTGTTGACTGACTTACTGAGTGCACACACTTAAGCGAGAGCAGGGAGAAAGGAGAAACAAGAGAGGCAGCCCCAGGAGGAGAGTGGGAACTGAGGTAGTACCTTCAGGGTAGCCAAGGTCCCGTACAGAGGATGTAACTGTCCCCTGTTTGCCTGACTGTCACGAATTGGCTGGCATGAGCAGTCCAACCCTGATCACCCTTGGAGGGGTGCTCTTCAGGACCTGACGTGGGATTCCTCTATCCTTCCATGAGGAACACTGAGCCTGCTCCACCTGCCCAGCTTCGGATGAGGTGACTCAATTAGCTGCCATGCAAGGAGCAGACTCACTCTTGTGACAGCAAGAGAAGGCTGGTCAGGCCTGGTGAGATGAGTGCGGGTGCTGAGTGCCAGCTGGGAGCAGGTGGAGAGGGCAGGAATCTCAGCCTTGCTGCTTCCTCGCTGGTGATCTTGAGGAAAAGGCTTGGCTCCTTCACTCCTCAACCTACCCAGTTTTCAGTGGAGGTGATAATCTACTGCCTTCATGACACTCTTGTTGGAAATAAGTGAATTAATATACAAAAGCAGGCATCTTTTCATAGCAGGGAGTTCTTCTGATGGTGTGCGATCAGGCTGAACTAGGCTATGGTGGATTGGGGTCCACTTAGACCCTCTACCCACCTGCACACTCAGCCCTGCCTATGGATGGCACTCCCCTGTGAACTCCCAAGTTCATGGTGCAGGTGCAGGAAGCTGTCAGCACACCCATGAGTAGGACTGGTCATCCTTCTGCCTCAGGCTCATCATGTGGTCCTGATTGTGCTTCCAGGTTTGAGAAAGCTCTGCGGAGACTTCCTCCAGAGTTCTGCCTCACAATTCCCTGAGGAGTGAGTGGGAGGGTGGCAGGCCGGGCTTCCTCTCCACAAATAGCTCCTGACACTGTTTTTCTTATTGAATTTCTGCCGTTGTCACGGAGGAGAAGGGGTCTGGTGCTTTGAAACATGGTTTAAAACCCCCAGAAGTAG